AGTAGCAAGGGGTAGAGATAGGGTACCAGTCTATGCCGCCAGCAACATCGTTACAGCAGCTGAATTTTAAGGACCGGCTAACAACGCACCGGCATAAGTTTCGTGAAACACTTTAACGAGGGACGTTTAGGACAGCGTTAGGCTCTCGTACAAAAATTCTAAGGATATTTTTACGATAGCTTCGTGAAACGGGCCCCAGCTGGTTTAGACACCGCCGCACCGTTTTTTTACCAATCAGCATTGTATATATTTGTTGTTCAGAGGGGGAGGACAAACTCATTTTGCACACGGATTTGAAAAATGGTAAAAAAATCGTGGTCATATTTATGATGGCACGTACAGGGTGTGTTGGCATGTTTCTTATTTATACGTATGCCCAATTTATCAGCGAGCTCATATATATTATACATCATTGGCATTGTTAAACATTTTCCAACTTTTATTGCTTTATTGAACGACACACACATCACGATAAGAAAGCCGTGTATGAACAAATGACCAGTACATACAAATGTGCACCCGCGCTTATGTTATGTCTACACATACATTATATGCCATACAGATCAAGGTGTATATATATATATATATATAAGGTAGTATTATTACATTATTATAGTTTATCTATACGCTAGAATCTGTAATTAATTGCGCCATCTATCGCGGATAAAAGTAACAACTGGAGCGAAGTTGATCGCGCGCCAAGACAGCCTTATATTTTAATAGGTTCAGGAGATATTGACGTAGATTTCGATATAAGATCAATAATGTAATAGCAATACATTATTGATCTTATATCGAAATCTATGTCAATATCTCCTGAACCTATTAAAATCCACTTTGTACTTTCGTTGCATACAAAACATGGATAATAAAGATGATTGCCAGTTTAAGATTATTGGAAGTAAAATCAAGGAAGAGGATTACTAATCATCACAGTATATGTGCCACTCAATGATTCCAGCCGAATAGCACTAAACAGTCTATGCACCAAAAAACGAAATTTACACACATCTATCTCTTTACAAATACAATTCACGCAATCACACTTGCGCACACAAAGCTGTTTGTACAAAAAAAGTACACTCAAAAGATAACATACTTGCTGAATAACATTAAAAATACACCATGCCTTAGAAAACGAGTAAGGTATGTATTTATCCTCAATTATTAACATATGTACAAGTGGATCCAACATCCACCAAAAGGGATTCATATTCAGAGAAGTATGCAGTTCAATGCTAACTCTGACAGATGAACTGACCGACAAATTGAGTATGACAACTTAAATGTTATTATACCAGACCCCCTTGATAGTGTACAATTTATCAATAATTTAATTCTGCCAAATTAAAATGCCCACAATAAAACAGAAACAATGTTTAAGTAGGTAACATAGATCTTAAATATCCGAGGGTAATTGTTTTACATTGTTAACACAGCATGAACAGAATTAGCTATATGTCACCGAGATGTCAGCCAGACTCCACTACAATTATCCACTCATGTTACGTCTGCAGGACTATGCAAAAGTTATTTTTGTTGCCACCAGGTTGCACCACCTTCTTTGGAAAATCACTTGAAAAATGAAATCCATACGAACACATATCACAAAGTGCACAACGGTATTAGGAATGTATTTAAACGTTTACATTAGTTTAATTGAGAACTCTTAAACAATTATTAGTGTTAACGAAAATCCAGTTTCAATTAGTATTGATTGAATACAATTACAAGTATTATTCTTCATCAATGTGTGCGTGCGTGTGTGAGTGAGCGAGCACATGCATGCATGCGTGCATCCCTGTGTGTGCTTGTGTGTGTCTCCGTGTGTGTGCGTGTGCATGTGCGTGAGTGTGTGTATGTGTGAGCATGCATGTGTGGGTGATACTAACCATTTCTCAGGCAACCTGGATTTCTTTCTGAAGGCCTTGTGAGAAAGTTTCGTGCTATTGTGTGAGGCAATCAGACTGTGTCCCAGGGACTCCATCATCACATGAAAGTTGTCGTGAGTTAGATACCGCGAGTTACTCAAACAGGCTAGGGGAAGCACAACCTATATTAAAAGATATCTCGCTCATTAACCTAGTTATCAAAAACTTTCATTCATTGTAATTTCTGCAATTTAAAGCCATGAAAATCCACTGTGATCTATGAAAAGGATCAGCATCAAATAAAAAAATAACACCATAGTGAAGTAAGTAAACACATAAACTGATTATAACACTGTGATAATACCTGTATATATACTAACAGTACAAAATCCAGAATATTAAAACATTGACAAGTAGCAACGATACTCACAAATATATATCCACAAGTCTTGCACAACTCTGTCGCTTTCACCAACATCTGACCTCGAACTTGGGCATCCCCAGGAAAGTTTAGCACCAAACTCAGCACAATGATATCATATTCTTCCATAGCACCACTCTAAAACAAAAGAACATGTATGATTGATAAAAACTGGGAAAAAAAAACAAGTTACATCACAGCTTTGAAATCATTAAGGATACTCTCCACCTTTTGCACGGGTATTGCTCTAATGAAGATTAAACGTTTATTGGCAAATGAATCAAATCAATCAATTGTTTTATTTATAGAGGAGATATATCTCTATGCTCAAGCCAAAACATTTCATGAAATTTCCAGCACCTAATTATGTTACCACACAAATTTTTACGAATTTTTATGTAAAAATGGTATTTTGGATATTTATCAACTACCAGAAAGAGTGAGAATACAACATCTTTGCCACATGTTAAGCACAATATGGACCAAAATAGTGCGTCAGAATTTTTCTTTAAGTTTCATATTTACCGAGAAAAATAGAAAAAACTGCTTAAAAATCAAGTTGTATTAGAATTGAAAATTTTAGCAAATAAAGAGGCATAACTAATAAAATACGGCACTTAATAACAATACCTGACGCACTTTTTTACAGCAATATGTTACCATTAAAACCAGTGTAAAATTAAATTAATCCAAGTTGTAATCACAGAGAAATATCCATTTACACTTCAGCTACTATGTCAGAAATCGGAACGGAGAAATCAGCATTTTTCACAATGATTGACCGCCTGTGTGCAAAATGGGTAAACGTATGTGAAATATCTACTGTTAGTACTTACTGCGACATATCCATGACTAACTGACACCACTAAATTGGTAATATGTTCCATGCACCTTGAGAAATTGTGAGAAATTACAAGATTACCACCGCACTTTCATGCAAAACGCGCGTACGATGTGTACTGCATGCCGTTACTAAGCTATGTGTCAACAAACACGGGGTGTAACAAGGGAAACGGGCCTATTTTCGGTCGCGCGGCAATTTCAACTATCACTGGCAGATGACAGCTGTAGGAGGGTTGATGCTGAATGATACTGGCTTAGTGAATATCATGAAAATTCTGGTTGTATCATGTCTCTGACGTCATCAGTGACATCAGCTGATGCTCACTACACGTGTACGCGGGCAATCAAAACGCTCTAAAACTTCACATGTACCGTTATATGGAGAAATGAGCATATACAGAGGTGGCACATATGTTAGCCATCGAATAAAGTCGAAAATGAAAAATCGGTAAAATTTTGCCTAAAACCTTGAGTATCCTTAATATTTAATTACAATTTTAAACATCATACACATAATTTTTAATACATATGTAATTTTGCTGTGAGTGCTATTGTGTGGCAAATTTTCCTATTTTTTGGGGACCGTTTCTTTTTGTTGTGCACATTATAGATTTCACCGTTAGCCATGAAAATGTATGTTGCAGCTTCCTCCTTATTTTACTGATAATTATTCTCGGATATAGGGAGCCGAATCCCATATCGTGCCCCCTTGCCTCTCAAATCGCACCCCACTGCCTGACGTAAAGGACCTGACAGTCCCTCCGCCAGGCTGATATGTTGACATCATCATTCTGCTGCATGTGGGGAATTTGATGGTATCCAAATAGACGGTGCCGTCAGTGTTACACAACCCCGACCTCAGCGTTTGTATCTGCCTACCGCTTGCCTACTAGCTAAGTGTTCACCTCACCGGTCAGCGCCAATCTAGTGATACAGACCTGCACACCATCTCCCTGTTTCATTTGTACATAGCAAGGTAGCAGTTGTGAGGTAAACCCCACTTGGGGGAGGCGGGAGTAAGGAACGGCATGCAACTTTCTCATAAAGCATAAAGAACTCAAGGGCAGAGCAGATAGCCTACATCAATTTACAGGATTTGCCGGTGATCTCTGGACAGGTTGAGCTGTAGGGAAGGGAAAGCGCTATCCTACGCTTACCTTGAACTTTAGGAAATCACTTTTTAGAATGCCTTTCTTCTGAGGGTTAAGATCAATGTAGGTACATTGTAGCCAACTAGCTTGATTTTCATAGTTCATGCTCAAGGCACCGACATCAAGAAGTCTCAGCTGTGGATAAAAAGAAAAGTTTAATAAACTTTTGCAGATTAAAAAGGACCTTGTTTAAACTGATTTCACCTCCTTGACATTTCATGAGGAATTAATACCAATGCTATACACCTCACTAGCATGTGTTGTTGATATAGTAGTATATATTTTTCTCCGTGTTGTATAGAATTGTATTATTATAATATTGGGAAATTATATCATTATATCTACTTAACTCTATTGCATCCACCCACTTTTTTCACCATTAAAAAACTGTTTTCAGTACATGTAATGTATTCGAATTATATGTAATAAAGATTTAACAATGTAGCTACTTTTCAAATGTTGCATTTATATGCATTTCTTTAGAAAACTTTAGATTCCTTTTAACTTTTAGAAACATGCACAATTACATATCACCCACCTTAACTTCTGACTTCGAAGCGAATGTCTTTAGCGAGCTGATAATCCACTTAGAGCTGTTGACATTTCCATGAAAATGCTCTCTTGTTTTAGAAACAGTCTGGTAAACACTCAGACCACCAATCTGTGATCATCGAAATGACAACAACAAATAAATATATATGCATATTATATAAATAGAAATTAAAAAGTAACTGTTGCCACTGCTTACAAAACTATGACATAAAATCCAGAGTGCATAAACTATAAAGCAGCAAAGGATAAAAACCATGCCTTCATTTTAGTTGAATTAATAAATGTTATGCACGAATTTGAAACAATTTTCTACTGCATTATTAATCATCTATTCATGCTTGATTCAGTAGAACCACAACAACTTGAGTGACATTACTTAATTCGATTGTGAATAAGACATGGTTTTTATTTGTTGAATGTGTAGTTTATTATATATATTAGCATTTTACTGCATTTTCACTTTACAACAAAATTGTTGATAGTTTTGTTATCACAAAAACCTGCTTATAAATTTACCTGCTTTATTTCATTTTCTAGTGAAGCAAGTTTAGCCTTCTTCAATGCCTTGTCAATAGTTTCTTGCTTCTTTATTAGTTCTACTTTTTTGTTTAACTGATGAAGTTTGGATATCACATCAGGTTTTAGTCTTTGAACACTAAAAATAATAGATGTTCTAATGAAATTAAATACACAAGTATGTGAGTATTATGCAATCGCATACATTTGGGAATTAAGACAATGTATTACTTTATCACTTTAGTTCACCAGGGATTCACATATACCCCATAGTGCATCCTGTGTAGTATAAATTGCACTGGGTGTAGGTTCAGAGTCAAGTTCCATGTTGTCCAGGAAGTAGGCACAGAGGTAGAAGCTGTGAAGTGCACTTGAAAGGTATTCGGGGTTTGATGCCTGCTATGGCTAAGCCATAAAGTATATTTCTGTCTTTTGCTGTCTAGCTAATGAGTAATGTTTTGCTTAATATAAACATAGCCTTATTTGATCTATTGTGGTAAATTTCTCTTCCAGCAAAAGAGAAAATTAGGAATTTACATTAAAATGCAACGTCTAGAAGTCGTTAAGATGTTTGATAAGTGGCCGAGTGGCTGACTTGAAGACTGTATAGTCAATTCGCCCTCCCTCGCTGTATTTATTAAAAAAATTGTGATATAATGTAACAATGTAATATACTTGAAAGCGTAAATAAATTTCAAAATCTAAAAAAAATCTAAATCTCTGCTACTCATGACTTGAGTATGACTTAATGTGAAATACTATCGCGGAGTGAAACCAGGGTAGATTTGAATTGTTCAGGCTACGGTAGGACTGGGCAATTGATCAGAGAAGGGTCTATCCGGTTGCACCCCGTCACCCCAATGTCTGAATGGAAAAGCAAAGGGGTACTAAGCTAAGGTGAGAGGAAATTTCATCATGGGCCGGACACAACCAGTGAACCACAACCTGCAAGAACCAACCAGTGAAGCGCCACATCACATGCCTTACATGGTAACGTCAATATATAGCTGTTTAACCTACATGATCGGTACACTCTTTTTGCGTTTTCGCCTTTTCTTAACTTTTTTATTTGATGCACTAATGCATGCAGGGTCATTTAATTCATTATTGAGAGTTTTCCCCATTGTACACAAAACAAAACTTCACAATAATACGGGGGCAGACATGTTGAAATAGCCCAGAATGCATTGCGTTGTAGTTAGTTATGGCCATACAATATATATCAATATGTATTGTTTATTGTTATTGTTTGTAATTTAAAACTATTATTAAAGCAATATTTTTGTAACATAACGTTACTAAATAGCAAATACATTTAAATAATATATCTAAAATTATTAAAAATCGTATTTCGTATAATGTTTAAATGTTTCTATTAATAAGGTGCTTTCATTTATAACCAACAGGTGGCGCTGACTGACCGCTAACGCGAAAGTTGAAATACTAAAAAATTGTATGATTTTGCGTTTGTTTAAAAAGATGAATATGGTATTGTAAATATAGCACAGCAGCTTTTCCCAAGTCCGCTAGGATCGATACAGAAAGAGCACTATAGAACTGTTTCACATGTACAGGTGAGCTTGGGTTAATTTCTCTGAATATTAATATGAACTAATTAGTAATTAACGCACCACCCGGTAGGCCCTAGTCATTGCTCCAACTCGCTTGTACAACTAGTAATACTATAGCTCTAGTACTATAGCCCGCTTACATTAACTGCCGCTGGCGGCCAGCGGCAGTTAATGTAAGC